TGTTTGATACATGCCAGTGTTTGATACATGGCAGTGTTTGATACGTGGCAGTAGTGTTTGATACATGCCAGTGTTTGATACATGGCAGTGTTTGATACGTGGCAGTAGTGTTTGATACATGGCAGTGTTTGATGCATGGCAGTGTTTGATACATGCCAGTGTTTGATACGCGCCAGTGTTTGATGCATGGCAGTGTTTGATGCATGGCAGTCAGGGATGGAAATTAGCACCCGCCACCAGCCAAATGCGGGTGATTTTGTGTTGTGGCGGGTAAACTCGCTTCACCTACCGGCCACCGTGGCGGGTAAATAAAAATAGCATACTGTTTCACCTAGGGATGCAACGAATCCAGGATTCGGATTCGGATTCGGCCGAATATTGGGCTTTTTAACGGGGTTCGGTTTCTGCCGAACCTCAGAATTTTTTTTCCACCGAACCGAACCCTAGGCTTGCACTACGCGCGCTACGTCGAAGTCACCGATCAGTGAATGACATCAAAGTACCGCGTGAACGAATAGAGAGCAGACGGCTCCATGCTTTTGAATTGCTCTCGCGGGACTTTGATGTCATAAACTGATCTGTCTGTGCAGCGCCGGTTCAAGTCGAACAAGCCTGTAGTGTAACGCGTTGTGTCAGGAAGAAAAATAGGGATAGCTCACAGACTCACGGAGGCGATTGGCATCTCACAACTCGCACTTTATTCCACAATCGAACTTGTGTAACTGTCTGTCACACGTTCTACCGTCCACAGCGTTACTTAACAAAATAAGGTAAAAATGAGCATCAAACAGAAATAACCCGCATACATGGGCATGTGTTCGAGGCGCACGGCACATACAATACGGACTGCAGACAGTTCAACAGGAGCGCGCAGTTCTTAAAGGGGCCACACCTTATTTCCACTCGTCGTTACAGTAGGTGGGCCGTTCGAATGCAGTAGGCTGTGAGAAAGTGAAAATGGAACTCGTGAGCAGAAAAGGTGTTGTTTGGCAGTACTTTCAGTGAAAAGAAGGCAATTCAAGTCGAGCTACATGTTCAATTTGCAATGCCGATTTGTCTCATGGTGGCAAGGACTCTAAACAATAGGCTACACAACATCGCCGCTGTTAAAATGCATAATGTTGCTTATTCTTTTTTTTTTTACAGTTATAACAGTAAAAGTAGTGTTTATTATTTACAGTAATAAAATAAAATGAAAAATCCACTTTGTTTACTTCATTAATGTGTTTACTGTGTTAATGGACTGAGGATGAGAGTAGGATTCGGTATTCGGTTTCGGATTCGGCAGAATCTTAACCAGTGGATTCGGTATTCGGCCGAACCCCACAAATCTGGATTCGGTGCATCCCTAGTTTCACCCGGATGGCGGACACTTTTAGAGGAGGCACACCTTCAAACAAAATGTGGCGTTACATCGCAGGCGTAGAGGTCTGCAGAGAAAACATCATGGTGCGTTCACACCAGACGAGAATAGAGCGTCTGGCGCGAGTGATATGCCTGATGTGGTTCTAATGCACAACAAAGCAAATATTTTATCACATAAAACTTGATTTCAATATATGAGACATATTCATTTTGTATTGAATGCTATTTATTCCATTTCATATCTAGATTCTATTAAATATTGTTCTAATGTAAAGGCAACCAACATACTATAGCTCATAAATCCGTGTCTGGAGAGTGTTGTGTGAGAGAAAAAAAAATCACAGGACAGGTTAATTACTTTTGGAGGCTGGCTCAATTTATCATCAAAACAAAAATAAATGACAGATTAGGTGGATGAGGCCGAGGGTGAGAGAAAGAGAAAATGTCAGTATTTCATTGAGACTTGAGATTAAATGAACTGCTTAAGTATTCTTGTAGTATTCATTTTCACATGCAGTTACACATTGTCGGTTAAAAACAAGAAAGTGGCTGGTAAAAACATTGAGTGGCTGGTAGATTTTGAAATCCACCAGCCACAGTGGCCGGTGGACAAAAAAGTTAATTTCCATCCCTGATGGCAGTGTTTGATTCATGGCAGTGTTTGATACATGGCAGTGTTTGATAAATGGCAGTGTTTGATGCATGGCAGTGTTTGATACATGGCAGTGTTTGATACATGGCAGTGTTTGATGCATGGCAGTGTTTGATACATGGCAGTGTTTGATAAATGGCAGTGTTTGATACATGGCAGTGTTTGATACATGGCAGTGTTTGATGCATGGCAGTGTTTGATACATGGCAGTGTTTGATACATGGCAGTGTTTGATACATGGCAGTGTTTGATACGTGGCAGTGTTTGATACGTGGCAGTAGTGTTTGATACATGGCAGTGTTTGATGCATGGCAGTGTTTGATACATGGCAGTGTTTGATACATGGCAGTGTTTGATACGTGGCAGTAGTGTTTGATACATGGCAGTGTTTGATACGTGGCAGTAGTGTTTGATACATGGCAGTGTTTGATGCATGGCAGTGTTTGATACGCGGCAGTGTTTGATACATGCCAGTGTTTTGGGGCAAAAATGTGAGAGAGCCAAGATCCTTGGATGATAGGGATGTGCATCTCCATAGCTGAGGCCGATGCGATACGCATCTCGATGCAAAGCCAACGATACGATACATTAAAGATACATACAGTATAAGCAGCTACCGATGAGATGCAATTCGATTCACTACTATTACGATGCGGTGCGATCCGATTTCGATTCGATTCAACGCGATGCGATTCAATGTAATATGATGCAATGGAGAAAAATATAATGCAATTCAATATGGTATAGATAGTTAACTTTTATTTCTTTTATTCAGACATACAGCAAATCATAAAGTAGCTTAAGTGCCATCTGACTTTTAACGCATGGTTCTTTTATCTTTTTTCACAAAACCAAAAGATTAAATAAAAGCAGGTACTGTTTTAACATAAACAATTACAAAAATAAAAAAAACCTTTCACAAACAGGTCTTTCATAACTGTATTCAAATGTAAAAAAAAAAAACTATTATTGGCAGTCACAGGCTGCTGTAAACCAGATTAACTCAAATGTCCTACTTTAAGGTTTAAAGGTGCCTCTCAGGACACGCCTCGCACTCCGTAGTGTTGTGATACGTCATATTCATGTAGCAGCTGCAGCAGTCGTGATGGTCGTGATGAGAGAACGCGATTGAGCAACAGTTCAGAAAGGAGAAATCAATCTAGTCGACCTGGACGCAAATGAGGCGAAATCGAGTTCATCGCGCCGCAGGACCTCCAGACCCGCGTCAACGCGTCTTTGCATTGACTTAACATAGAAATCACTCGCTACAGACGCTCAATTTGCGTTCGGTGTGAACGCAGCAGTTACATAATAAAATATTGGTCACAAATGATTGGTCAGTTTCTAAATAGTAAAAGTATAGCGCATCTACTAATAATTATATATTAATAAATCGTTTTTTACTGATGCAGATGTTAGAAACGATGCATCGCGATACAAATGCAAACTTGTATCCGATGCACACTTATTTAAATCGATGCATCGCATCGTTAGCTTTTATGCCGATGCACTGATGCGAATCGGTGAATCTTACCATCCCTATTGGATGAAAAGTGCAGGGCAGGGCAGGGAAGGCCAAGTAAGGTAACCCATACCTGGAATTTGTCCTCTATATTTAACCCATCCACATTATAAGTAGTGAGTAGTGAACACACACACACCGCGAGCAGTGGGCAGCCATTCACTGCGGCGCCCAGGGTGAGACTGAGGGTTGAATGCCTTGCTCAAGAGCACCTAAGTCATTTCCTGTCGGTATTAAGAATCGAATCCGCGACTTTCGGGTTACAAGTCCAACTCTCTAACCATTAGGCCACAACTGCCCCAAAGCAACCTCACACATGGATGGTCTCAGGATGCTTCACTGTTGGCACGACAAAAGACTCGTGGTAGTATTCACCTTTTCTTCTCTGGATAATCGATTTTCCAGATGTCCCAAACAGTCGTAAGGGGGCTTCATCCGAAAAAATAACTTTGCAAAAAATAACCTTGTACTTCCCTGCAGAATTTTATTCTGTCCTTAATGTTTTTCTAGAAGAGAAGTGGCTTCTTTACTGCCCTTGTTGGCACCAGGCCATTATCCGAAAGTCTTTGCCTCACTGTGCAGTATTGGCACCGTTTGGAAGAAGTTGCTCTTGCAGGATGTTTTGATACATGGAAGTTTGATAGATGGCAGTGTTTTTGGGAAAAATTGTGAGAGACCCTAGACCCTTGGATGAAAAGTGAAGTGAAGGCCAAGTATGGTAACCCATACTCGGAATTTGTCCTCTACATTTAACACATCCAAGTTAGTGCACACACTTTAGGAGTAGTGGACAACTGCTGCCAATATTGAACGATATTGAACGATATTCACTGATGGTGACATGATTCCGTAGCCGACTACTCAGGAGGAGACTGTCCTGGTGCTTGCTGGACACTCTGGGATGTCCTGAAACCTTCTTTACTGCAGTTGAACCTCTCTCCTTGAAGTTCTTGATGATCCGGTAAATGGTTCTTTCAGGTGCAATATTCTTTGCAGTATTTCCTTTGGAAGTAACCATTGCTAACACATGACACAATGATTGGAAGCACTTCTTCCCTTCTTTTAAAGCAATTAGTCTGCTTCTATAATCCAATCAGAGTGATAGAGTGATTTCTCCTGACTAGTGCTCGTTCACACTTTGAAATGATTTTAGTTGGTCATTTTGTGCCAGTGCCAAAAAAGTGTGAAATTTGAAGTCAATTAGAAGTCAATAGTTTTATATTGGTCTGACATTTATGACAGTATTATAATTACAAGTAGTTTATTCATTAATAAACACTGCTTTAAATCCAAGTTGCGATTAATTTTACAGCTGGTTGATTTAGTTTATGAATCAGAATCTTTATTAAAGTTTTAATCTCTAAAAAGAAAATTAATCAGGAAAAATACTTCTGGCATCAAGGCTGCTGAAAATCTGCATTACCGTTGAGCTCTACTGAGCAAAGCAGTAGCCACACAAACCTTCAGCTCATCAGCGTCATAGAAGTTGACATGAACGGCCGGCACCATCCAGGTGTGAAAGAGGTCGGCCAGGATCTTCCGAGCGATGGAGTCCGTGATAATATGGAAGTGGAGTGGGTTCCGTCTGACACATAGTGGGAGAACAAACATTCGTTGTCACATTCGGTTTTCAGCATTCTTACTTTTATTACCCCATGCCTACCTTAAATGTCTAATAAAAGTCTTTACATACAAAGTATGTCTAGTACAAAAGGACTAATACCTATGATGAAAAGAGTGAAAGAGTGACTGGTAATTCCAACACCAACACTTTTGATGCACTTGGACACTCAAGCTCTGTTCAAAAACGTACTGAGCCGCCTTGCTGTCTACATAAGCAGCAACCTTCTGAGGCAACATCCTAACTGAATACTGCTCACGTTAAGGAGCCGTGAATATCCTCTGAATGCGGACAACCACAATGACTCTAAACTTACCTGTGAAACAGAACTGACTTGACCAAAGTGACGACATCTCTGCTCGCATTGTACCCCGCACACACGATGGCAATGTGAATGGTCTGTGATGAGAAAGACAAGTAGTGTTCACAACAGTCTGAATCACTACTATTGCAATACATAATGGTTTTAAAATATGACACTACATCTTCAAAATCAATTTTATAAAATGTAAAAGCCATAATGCTAGGTTGTTATGCAGTTTCTCAATGGCTGCTAGGGTGTTATGCTTTTCTTAAGAGTGTTCTGGATGGCTTCTACGGTGTTGCTGGGTGTGGTTGCAAGAGTGTTTTGGGTTATTTCTATTTTCATAGTCATTTCTACGCAGTTACTAGTGTGGTCATTGCTATGTAGATGCTAGGCTTTTCTGGATGGTTCCTAAAGTGTTCAGGAGTGGGTTTTAGGGCATTCCTATGCGTTTACTAAAATGTTCTGGATGGTTTCTTGGGTGCTCATATGCGGTTGCTAGAGTTTTCAAAGTGGGTGCTAGGGTATTGCTATGCTTTGCTATTGCTAGAGTGTTCAGGGTGATTTCTATGGCGGTGACATACAATTGCAAGAGAATTTCTTGGTTTCTAGGGCATTGCTACATAGTTGGTAGGCTGTTCTGGCTGGTTATAGGTTCTGAGTGGTTTCTAGGGAGTTGTTGTTGGGGGTGTAACGGTTCTCTGTAAAAAATGTTTTATAATAATCGAACCGTACCGTTCTCCACCCAGGGTTCAGCACGCACTTGCACTGCAGTTCATCTTAAATCTGACGACACATCTATAATATGGCTGTGCAAAAGTCTTTTTAGAGGTTTTAGCAATGGTATTATAACCTTATATAATTATTTCTCAGTTTCTTTATTAGAATAAAAAGGCAAGTATTTAGTGACCTCCCCTTAGACTTGAGCAATAGCAGGAACTTGGCTCTCTTAATCCTAAATGGAATGGAAAAAAACTGGAAGGCAAAGAAAATTTTCTAAATCTGATGAGAAGTTTCTCAGTTTCTTCTTTGAGAAACTGGAAGAAGCCCAGGAGGACAATAAATACTGTTTTTTGCTTAAAGAAGCCATTTTGTTCAGAATTTTTCGATGGATATGCTTTGCATGCGTTTCATGTGAGAGTAGCTGTCCAATCAACTGCTAGTAGGTAAATCAATTGCTGACATCACAGTTCATCACATGTGGGTGTTTTGCAGTTCAGCATGGCAATCGAAGGAGACAAGCTGCTGATAGAGCCGCCGCATGCATCATATAAAAATCTCCTGTCTGGGAACATTCTGGCTTTCCAATACGTTACAACAGCGATGGTCAAAAAACGTGGACAAAACTGTCACTCTTGGTAAACTTTGTTGCCGTGTGCTCTAGTGTGACCAGTTATTTGCGCAGGGTGTTGATAGCGTGTGAGCGCAGGTGAGACCACAGACTGCTTTTCTGTTTAAACACACTCTTAGTGCTAATTCAGACAGGCACAAAACAATAACGGAAGCGCTGGGCAGGACTCAACAATAAGGACCGCCCGATGGCCCGGGGGTGGCGTGAAAGATGCGGACGGAACAGTCACTGTCCCGATTGGGTCAGTGCTGCACCATCACAAAAGTTTATCATTTGCACATGTTTTTAAGCCTCGCCAACTTAAACATTCAAGCATAAGAAGATGCGAAAGAGAACTTGCACACGCTGTGTAAGAAGTTTTGTGTGTGCACACATCTGAAGCGCACACATGGAAAGCCGCGTCTCGCCACCTGAATACTAAATTGAGCTCACTTAAATGAAGTCTTTTTGCACTTAAACAGAAAATTATGTCAACTGATATGTCTTAAATCAGTGGTTCTCAACTGGTTTGACTATGGGACCTACTTTTTCCTATGGTCATAAGGCCGCAACCCAATTTATTTGGACCTATTTATTGGAAATTTGAACTAATTCCTAAAAGATTACATAAATAATTGTAAAAAATAATAATAAATTTACTTTTTTTTTAAAGAAGAAAAAAAAAGCACATTTATTTCACAAAAATGGTTGACACACAAGTACCATCCCACTTTACCAACCAGTTTTTGTTAATTCAATAGAGTTAGTAAGTTGGTACCACAGTCATTTAAAAATATATTGAAGTCATTGAAAATAAAGTGTTATTTTACCATGGTAAATACACAATACTAACATGAACTGTTAATGCAACTTTCGGACACTAATCCTGATTAACAGAATGAACATCATACCTGCGTGCAAATCCTTCATAGCTAACACACAACATACCAGTTAAGTCATTTATTGGTACTTTTTTGTAATTTTATAACTTACTAATAATAGTCAACTACACTACGATGTTGCAAGCTCGTAATTTTGTGCATTATATATAGTGAAGTGATATACTATGCGCCTCCGCATTTGCCTGAGACTTTTTATTTTGTTACAAGTTACGAAAATGACGTTAGAATAATGACACTTACGTATAGCCTAACAACATCTCATCTGACCGCAGATACTGAATCAGGACAACGTGTTTTTCTCAGGCACTCTTTACTTAAACAATCAAAACAACTTTCACATACGTCTTTCAAAATAAAAGTCTTGATTTAGAAACCCACCAGTTGAGAAACACTGTCTTAAATAAACAATGTTACCATTTTAGTTGTACTTCTCTTTTTATCTCCTGGTTATGGGCAGATAGAAAGAGAGGGAAGTTTAATGTATTTTCTTTTTGGGATTATCTTGTTCTAGGTAATTTATAAATAATTTTGAATTAGTTAGTTAAATTGTGTTTGTTATTTTGGCCTAGCTCTCCCCTGAAGTTTATTCCCTATGTTTGTTAATTTACTTCAACATTGTTGTTTCTGTTATCTCTGATATTTATCATTTCGTATCTTTTCAAATTAAAACAATATTATTTTGAACTGGTGTTTGTGTTGACTCTGGGACGGGAGGTTGAGTTGTCCTGGTTCTCTCTCCAAGTTTATTTATTTATTTTATTTTAGTAATTTATTTTTGTTACTGACTCTCCAACCCTTGATGGGTAGTTATGTAATGAGCTGTTGCTGGTTGATTATTTGTTCCTTTTTTCTTTATTTTTATTTAACAGTAGTTCTTTTTTTCACCCGTGAATATAGCACATACCGATCCGTACCAAAGCCGTGACCCTGAAACTGTAAATTAAACCGTTACACTTCTAAATGTTATGCAGTTGCTAGAGCATTCTGGGTGGTATCTAGGGTGTTGCCATGCAGTAACTAGGGGATTTCTAGAGCGTTGACAAAGTTGCAATTGTGTTGTGTTCTTGGTTTCTAGGGCCTTTCTATGCAGTTGCTAAAGGGATCTTTCTGACCAGTTTCTGATACAAATTTGACATCACAAGCAAGTTAAAAAAGTTTCCATCCATCCCTCCTTCAGTGTACTCTGTGGGATTTGTTCACTTGTTTTGCCATCCAAAATCATAAAATCGTAAGCCCGATCAATAAGTTAAGTAACAGCACACAGAATACAGAATACTAACCTCACATTTGTTCACCACAGGCTGAGGCACACAGTCCGAGCTGTTGCCCGAGGCAACTCCTTTTTTAGCCTCGCTATCACCTGTACCCTCTTCAGTGGAATGGGTGTGCAAGTGGTTGCCTTGGCGACCGTTGCTATGATGGCTGCTATGGGTCGGGACCCTGGGCAACAGGCTAATCTCTCTCCGCAGCGCATGGTTATGTTCCTCCACGTCTCGTAGCCGCAGCTCCAAAGCCTGATGCTCGGCGGCCGCACCGATCAGCACCGATGACTGAGGATCCAACGGTGACAGAGACAGCGGTTTGACTGAGGAGGAAACAGAGACAGATCGAGGATCATTTACTAGTTGAACATCTGCTGCAATAAAGCTTGTCAAATGTCCAAATTATGAGTGCAGATGCACTTTTTCTAAGGGTACACAAACATAACAATGCAATAAACATAACCGCTTCAAAATTCACATTTTCAGTATGGGTGTGTGTAATTTACACAGGAGAACAAAACAAAGTATCATCAAGTTAACCACAGCCTTTATTTGACTTGATTTAATTAATTTAATGGAAAAACCCCATAGAATCTCAAGGGAACCACAGGTGAATTGGTCTTCTGGGATTGACGTCATCCCTGCAGCACTCTTTTGTTGCTCTGGGCTTTTTCTTCCTCTTTTTTTTTTTCTCTGGATGGTTTCTTGGGACTCTGCTCTTCCTCTCTACCTGAGTTCTGCCTTCCTGGAAAACTGGGTAAAAGCCGTAAGCCAGACTGAAGTCCTGAATGACATCTCTCTTTCTCTCTTTTATTTTATAAACTTACACTATACCTCTCTCTCTCTCTCTCTCTGGTAACATTCTACATACATCCTGGTACAATTAACTATGTTTTATTAACTTTTTTGTCACCAATGCAAGTGTAACCATAACCAAATACTGTTATTAAACCCTATAAACATCTAGTTTCGATTCAGTATTGACATTAAAGTGCTACCTATTGCAAATTTGCAATAGTCAAGTCAAGTCACTTTTATTTATATGACGCTTTATACAATATAGATTGTTTCAAAGCAGCTTTATAGAGATAACAGGAAAATAATGCAACAAACTTTGTTTCTAGAAGAAAATAGCATCATAGTCAAGGTAGCAGCACAAAAATATACTCAGCAAAACAAAACAAAATAATTACAAATATTTTTTTTTCTGACAGTGTAGAATGAACCCATGTTACACGGCTTACGAACATACAAGAAACATGCATGATGATCCGGCTGCGTCTGTGTTGTATAATTTAGTAGATCACGCGCAGAACTTTCCATTCCCATCGGCGCTGTTTTGGGATTGTGCTCTCACGCTAATTTACCCTGTTTTGTAAATCTAGCCCTTAGTCTTCTACTGCACTTAAACTCACTTCAGTTCGTTTCCAAGGCAAGGCAACATTTATACGTTTTTTCATCAGATATATATATATATATATATATATATTTATTTATTTATTTATTTTTGTAAGTAATTTCACTTACATATACATCACAATAGAGAAGAAAAGACTCCGGCAACTTCTGTTTCATGCCGACTTTAAAAATATATTTACTTTTCATGAAATACATTCAACAGATGTCAATACAGATGTTAATTTCAGACTAAATTAACTGTTGCATTTATTTTGATATGTTCAACTCAAATAATCACTTAAGTGACATTGAGAGATAACAATGTTTAAAATATGTGCCGATAACTTTTCACAAAAAAAAAACGTTTGCCTACAATTTGAAAGCAGCAAAACAATATATAAAATACAAGTATTATATTTGTCTTTAAAAAAGGACATTTGAGCTCAAACTGTGTGTTAACAGCTAAGATGACCCTAGTGAAAAATAAATATACTTAAATATATTTGAAATACGTTTATTTTATGCTAAGTATACTACAAATACATTGAGATATTTATGTACTTAATATAAATACCCAGCAATTGTACTTTTAGCATAGTAAATTGGTATACTTAAATTAAATACTGCTTAAAAATATTTAATCATTTATACTGCTAAATTAAACAAATGTTGTACTTTAGTTATCCAGAAAGAGTGCTGAAGTTCAACTAAAGATCTACTTAAGTATAATTGATTGTGCTAAAGTGGAACTATTCCAAGTATACTTCAGGTACACTTTAAATATCTTGCATTTAAAGAGTGATTTTAAACAGAGATCATACTATCCTTTCTAATAGTGATTTCAAAATACATTTTAGGTGATGGCGCAGTGGATAAGACACATGCCTTTGGTGTGAGAGAACCGGGTTCGAATCCACTGCGAGACACCAATGTGTCCCTGAGCAAGACACTTAACCCCTAGTTGCTCCAGAGGCGTGCGACCTCTGACATATATAGCAATTGTAAGTCGCTTTGGATAAAAGCGTCAGATAAATGAATAAATGTAAAATGTAAATGTAAGTCTCAAGTGATATGTCAGTAAATATGTTAATGGATTTGTAGTATACTTAGTATGACAAATGTATTTTAAATACATTTTGGTCGTTTTTTTTCACCAGGGGTAGAATGTATTGCAAGAACACATTCACATGTCAAAATTCAACACATTATTTGACCTGTTCAACATCAGTGAGCATGAATCAGAGCAGTATAATATTTAATCCACATTAATAAAGTGACAGCAAAGACATTAACTTTTTCAGCCAAAAGTCATTAAAAGCCAGTGGAGTAAATCACCAGTTTTAGACAGGCTACAGTGACTTAATTAATTCAGCACACAGTGAAAATACACTTCACTGTGGTCAACTATAAAGTCTAAGAGTAGTGGAATGAACTAGAACAAGAAAATTCTGTACATGTTTATATCACTGTTACATGTCAACATTTAGTAGAGCCACAAAAAAATCATTTAACTTACATTACTCTACAAAATAATCTTTTTCAACTTTTTTCTTCATTTTTTCAGATTACTGTTTTTTTTTAAGTCAATGTCTAACAGTTGCATTATGTAATTACGTTTTTCTTTATCCGTATATAAACGGCTTAAGCATAAACCGATCGACACAGGTAGATTTTGCCCATTACTCCGATTTCTTCTGGCATGGAAACAACTTATCCTGCATTCTTATTGAAGTATTAATTTAATTTTTCAAATACCGCCAAACAATTGCTGCATCTATTCAATGGTCACAAAGAGCGCTATGTAGACACTTTATTTCAATAGTCCACTTTAGATATTCTACTAACTATAAGTAACTTTGCAACTACATTTCAACTTTTTCTACTAACCCGGACCCTAACACCTAACCAAAGAGTCTACTAATACTCTAATGAGAATGTACAGTCAAACCAAAATGTATTCAGGCACCTTCAACATTTCTCACATTATCACAGTTTGTTTGCTATAGTTTAGAAAATGGTAGTTATTAAATCAGTTGATATTTCACTGGTTTTGGCCGTCCTTCTGTTCTGTCTCACAAATGAATTTGGCTGAATATCTGTCAGTTGTTAAATTTAAGTACACAATTAGATAATACCAATTTAGCTCAACCAATTACCAAGCAATGCTTTCTTTTGTTCAGTCTGTGGTGTAAAAAGGTCACATTAGCAATTAAAGAAAAAACACTGAAGCAAAACATGGTCAGGCCAAAGTGTCTGATTAAATTTGTGTGTCAGTAAATTTAAAGTGTCCCAAATTTGTATAAATTTTACTGGTAGTTGACTATGAAAAATGTTTGGGTATAATAAGTCACAGTTTACTTTATTTTGCTATCTTCACTTACATAAATGAACTACACTCACCTAAAGGATTGAACCTGTTCAATTTCTCATTAATGCAATTATCTAATCAACCAATCACTTGGCAGTTGCTTCAATGCATTTAGGGGTGTGGTCCTGGTCAAGACAATCTCCTGAACTCCAAACTGAATGTCAGAATGGGAAAGAAAGGTGATTTAAGCAATTTTGAGCGTGGCATGGTTGTTGGTGCCAGACGGGCCGGTCTGAGTATTTCACAATCTGCTCAGTTACTGTGATTTTCATGCACAACCATTTCTAGGGTTTACAAAGAATGGTGTGAAAAGGGAAAAACATCCAGTATGCGGCAGTCCTGTGGGCGAAAATGCCTTGTTGATGCTAGAGGTCAGAGGAGAATGGGCCGACTGATTCAAGCTGATAGAAGAGCAACTTTGACTGAAATAACCACTCGTTACAACCGAGGTATGCAGCAAAGCATTTGTGAAGCCACAACACGCACAACCTTGAGGCGGATGGGCTACAACAGCAGAAGACCCCACCGGGTACCACTCATCTCCACTACAAATAGGAAAAAGAGGCTACAATTTGCAAGAGCTCACCAAAATTGGACAGTTGAAGACTGGAAAAATGTTGCCTGGTCTGATGAGTCTCGATTTCTGTTGAGACATTCAGATGGTAGAGTCAGAATTTGGCGTAAGCAGAATGAGAACATGGATCCATCATGCCTTGTTACCACTGTGCAGGCTGGTGGTGGTGTAATGGTGTGGGGGATGTTTTCTTGGCACACTTTAGGCCCCTTAGTGCCAATTGGGCATCGTTTAAATGCCACGGCCTACCTGAGCATTGTTTCTGACCATGTCCATCCCTTTATGGCCACCATGTACCCATCCTCTGATGGCTACTTCCAGCAGGATAATGCACCATGTCACAAAGCTCGAATCATTTCAAATTGGTTTCTTGAACATGACAATGAGTTCACGGTACTAAAATGGCCCCCACAGTCACCAGATCTCAACCCAATAGAGCATCCTTGGGATGTGGTGGAACGGGAGCTTCGTGCCCTGGATGTGCATCCCACAAATCTCCATCAACTGCAAGATGCTATCCAATCAATATGGGCCAACATTTCTAAAGAATGCTTTCAGCATCTTGTTGAATCAATGCCACATAGAATTAAGGCAGTTCTGAAGGCGAAAGTGGGTCAAACACAGTATTAGTATGCTGTTCCTAATAATCCTTTAGGTGAGTGTATAGTGTCCTGCACCCACTAGTAAAACATATCAAAAATTATACCTTGTGTCTATGGGGTTAGAATTGTTGCATTATTCCAAATAAATAGATTGAGATTCACAAATACATGTAAAGAGATTCACAAAAATGTTTCAAATTCACAAATAAATAGATTAAGATCCACAAATAAATGTAAAGAGTTTCACAAAAAAAAAAAAAAATTTACAAATAAAAAAGATTTGCACTTTTTTTTTTTTACAAATGTGTTTTATGTCACAAACACAACTCTGCCTGGCATTTATTTGTGAACCGCTTTCTGTGCATTTGTAAATCACTGCAC